GCAAGGTTTTATCTTCGAAATATCCTTTTTTTTACAAACGTTTAGCTCGGAATGTATTTAAGCAATGCATATTCTTTACTGATTTTACTTTATTTCTGTATTGCAAGCAAGTTCCGCCTGCTCTCTGCAACCGCTCACTCGTCGTGTCATCCGCCGTTCAGTTAACTTTGTTAATGAAACGGCAGGTTTTTATCTTCGAAATATTCTTTCTTTTTTACAAACTTTAACTCCGAATGTATTAAGCATGCATATTTCTTTACTGATTGTATATTCTGTATTGCGTAAGTTTCTCTAGTCTCTACAGCGACTCTGGCCCGGATCCTAGATTGAAGTGTCGACGGTGCAGGATTTTCGACGCTAGCTTGATAGGTGAATTAGGCGTACGTCAGTTTATGCATTACTTTACCACACATCCTAGGAAGTTGGCAGCGTATTAAGCAACTGTTCGCGTCGGGGGAGATTTCTGGAGGGGAATTCACTGCAAACAAACTCAACCACTCAGAAGGGATCATTCTCATTCTTTAAACTTCTCATTACTCTCCGAAATTCCTTGTCAGATACGGAGTATTGATCACACGTTGATACGAGTATCTATAGAATTGCCACCGTAATGATTTGAGCATACAAAAGATTAGGTGTACATTTTTTCGAGGTTTGAGGGGAAATATTCTTAATAATGTAAAATGGAGAACTTGCCAGCGAAAAGTATTTGCGGGACATCTTCGATGTCTGAAAGGATCCTTCACTTTTGGTTCAAGCAAAGTGATCGTTGTCCGAGACTTAGAACCTATTTGTTTTCTTCCCAAAGTTCAAGCCCCTAGATATCGATTTTTTTTTCTTTCTACAATTCAATTCCTATGAGATACGGAATATAAGACACGCTTTGCTTACATCACCTCTTCAATTGCGGTACGCATAACCGAGATCGCTAGGGTAGTAGTGCCGTAGCGATCTCGGACGAAGGATGCGGGTTCGAGTCCCGCCTCGGGCATGGTTGTATTGTGTTTCGTCCTTTCACACCCCTACCATAATCATATCGTGTCATCCTCATAGCTACGCGTTACACGCAATAGTCGTCACTAACTGACCTAGTAGTAGATGCAACCTTAAATAACAAGAAAATAAACAAAAAAAGAACACAACACTTCAATTCCTCACCGCAATTCTTTGGTAACATTCGAACTCGAACACACGTTGCACACCTATTTCTTAACAAAGTACGCGATACGCGTTTGCTGACACACGCGCCGCCGCCGGGCGTGAGAACGTTCGTCTTACCCTCGCATCAACGTGACGCGGGGTTGCTTCTCTTTGCTCCGTGCAATCAGGGCCCGGCGGCAACAATGGGCTGGTCTAATTGAAGGGGCGGTCACGCGACGGTGGACTTTTCCGCAGCGCTGCCGTCGACCGGAGTCGCTTCCTCCCCTCCCCTCCCCCCCCCCACGTGTCCGTGTGTCGCCGGCGCAGGACACGGCCCCTCTCGCTGCGTTGTCCGCGAGGACGCACGCGGTGGCCAGGCGCAGGCTCGCGACAGTTGTTAACCACGTGACGCTGGCAGATTGCGGTTGAGGAGAAAGCGATTAAGCTGTCGCGAAAATGATCTAGAAACAGGAATTCGTGCTAGGGGTATAGTTAAAGTCAGAAAGAATTTAAATGTCTTTGAAAATATTTTAAATACTTTTGAAAAGAAAATCTATCTAGAAATCTAGTCTAGTCTATCCGGAAATGATCTAGAAACAGGAATTCGGTGTACGGGTATAGTTAAATTCAGAAGAATTTTAAATGTCTTTGAAAATATTTAACATATCTTTGAAAAGAAATCCTATCTAGAAATCTAGTCAGTCTATCCGGAAATGATCTAGAAAACAGGAATTCGTGTAGGGGTATAGTTAAAGTCAGGAAAGAATTAAATGTTCTTTTAGAAAGTATTTAAAGATCTATTGAAAAGGAAAATCTATCTAAAAATCTAGTCTAGTCTATCGAAATTGTCTAGAAACAGGAATTCGGTGTATGGGGTAATAGTTGAAAAAAACGATCAGAAGAATTTAAATGCTTGAAAATTTTTAAAATCTTTTGAACAAAGAATAACTTCTAAGAAATCTACGATCTACGTCTATCCGGAAATGATCTAGAAACAGGAATTCGGTGTAGGGTCCTGCCGACGTTGCCGCCCGCACACTGCTCCCGATGACACCCACTCCGCGGAGGAACGTTAGCGATTTAAAACGAAACGCGCGGTGCTGTGACAGCACGCACTTTCTCGCATTTCGGTAATTCGAACTTATTGGAGGTGTGGTCGGTACAGATTCGGATATGTTCGGATTAACCGGAAAAATATAGCACCGTACATAAACAAATACAGGATTTTCAGACAATGCAACGTAGCGTGCGATGTGAGAAAATGGCAACGCAGCGTAGCGATCGATTCAAGTAGATTCAGTTCCTTACGGCAAACGAATATTACCGATGTTACAAGTTCCCCTAAGTGAAAATCACTGATACATAACCTTCGTGATATATACGGCGTCGCCAGTGCAATAAAAGTTTCATTTCGTCAACTTGCGTTTCAATAATTGGATGTTTACTTTTACGTTAATAATAAAGTGATGCAAAACTGAAAAAAAAATATTCTTCGCAATACAAATAAGCATTTTATTTATTTTGTTTATTTTTCCTCCACCCCGAATTTTGTTCAGATTATCCGAAAGTTTGGATTTGCGGGATTCGCATTAGCGAGGTTCTACTGTATTTAAAACGATCTAAATTTTAAAAAGTCTTAAGTCTATGAAAATGAGACTTGATTTTTATAAGCGCCCCCTCCCCATCACCACAGTCTCCGTTGCCGCGAACGCACCCTGACGCACTTCTCCCAATGACACTTCATGCCGGGAAGCTAGCGTTTTAACAGCTCTTTGTGCTACAACAGCATATACTTTCTCGTATTACTTGAAAATGCAATTATACTTTCTCGCAATTATCGAAAATTCAGATGTTAATGTAAATGAGACCTGTTTTTATAAGTGTTCTCCCAACTCCCCTCATCACCTCCGCTTTCGTTGGCGCGCGCGCTTGGCACACAACTCACACGCCCACTTCGAGTTGGAAAGCTAGCATTGTAAAAGGCAGTTCGTGATGCTACAAAAGCACATTATTCTTCGTTCTATTTGAAACTTTGGCAATTTTCAAACGTCAGAAGAGTCAATGAGAAATGCTTTTTATAAACTCCTGTCCCTCTTTAGTCTCCGCTGCCCCCCCCCCTGTCCGTCTCCAACGTATTTGTTGATTTTCAAAGCGTTTATTGAATGGAGGATTGAACTTGATATTTTCACGCTTTCCCATTGTGATATTCGAGAGTATTCTATAACATTAATTGGATTGTTGGTGAGGTAGATACCTTTTTATTATGATAAATAAATAAAGATATTGTCTGGTATCAATATTTTATATCAATATTCTAATTAAAATATTGATACCAGGCAATATCTTTATTTATTTATCATTATTCTATAACAATACCGAAATGTACGTGGGATGTGAGAATTTGCAATGTTAGTGTTGCTCAACACGTGTATAGTTTTGCGAATTTTTATGCCTATGTGATACATTTTCCGTTTTGCTAAAATTAACATAATTTACTAATTGTGGAACACTTGCAATTTTGTGGAAATTTTGCCTTAGTTCATGAACTGGTTTTGAAAATATTGCGAATTGCCTTATCCACATGAATTGTGCTTATGATAGCATACCTCCATTCCCAACCTCTCGGGTATATTAGAGATTGTGCATATTTTTTTACAGATAGGTCTACAATAGGCCCTTGTGGTACCCCACTGTTTCTCCCAAACATTTACCAAGATTTACAATTATCGATGGACTTCCAATTATTGATGGAAAAGAATAACTCAGTTACTTCAGAGCGTAGAATTATAATATCAACAATTTTCGAAAATGTTGCACATTTAAAAAATTGTCATTTTGAAGACGAAAGTGTTTAATCTGAACAAAGCGGCATACTTCACAGCAAAAGAAGTATTTTACTGTATATACCGCGTGTCTTGTGAACAACTTTTTTATTTCAACCAATAGAATTTTATAAACGTTTCTTCATTTAACTCAAAAATACTGACATAACATGCGTCACGTTTGTTCTGCAGCAACAATACCCTTTTCCATTCACTTCGACGCCTTGTTAGACGTATATGTGGGTGTTCCAGAAATAAACATTTTGCTGCGCTGTTGCCGACACGTCCCACTGTGTGAAGGAGGTGGAGGAGATGGTGCGGGTAGGGAGGGGTTCGCTGTAGTGGTGCTCTGAAGTGGAGCGGTTTCGCTCGGCTCCTCCACCGACACCACCGGTGAAAAAGCCCGGGAAGGAGGGGGGGTGCCGCGAAACTGTGCACGGCTGGATACAACGTCATACTTAACTATTTTTATTTTGCACTGATATGTTGTTGCTTGTTATTTGTGTGTGATAAGGAGTTTGATACTCATTGCATAACTTTGCTGGATCTGCCGGGTGATCGGTCGGGAGCTTAGAGCTTGTCCCGGCTGGGGCGGTGCCTCGCTGGTGGAGATACCCGGTCGGGGAAAACCCCGTTAGCCGACGGGCAGGTCCGCGCCGGAACTCACTATCCAACGGAGGAAGTTCACCGCCACCTCCCGCGATAAAACCTGTACTACACTTACGCGACTAATGACCTTAGCAGTTCACGCGCCCGGAATCACTAATGAATCAATTAATAAATCAGATATAATAACTCAAGTAGTTGATACATCGGAAATTAATTGAAATGTGAGCTGACATTTCCAACGGAACTATCTGGAAATTATTCTCGTATTCATAATTTTGTCAACGTTTGTCCAATACCAAAAAAAAAAATGTAAAATAAAAATTTTAATTGGCAATTTTGATGCGTGCAAATATTGAACAAGTGTAATATTTTAAACAATAAAATTACATAAACCATAATTTTGCTCGTGCCATGCCTATTCTTTTTTAGGTGAAGAGACCCGGCAAGGTTCTTTCGCACGGAGCTGGTGGATTCTTCAAGGATGAAGAAATATCTTCCCAAACTTTGAAATTACGTTTTCGGTGAGTCATGAGAATAAAATTCAAATACTTAAGAATTTAATTTAATAGGAATCGAGTTTCTGAGGGTTAGAATGTTCTACAATGACACACATTTTTTCTTAACACAGGGCTCAAAGGTAGATGTTTAGAGATGATTGTCTGTGGATTTCATATTTTATAGAAAGCTGAAAATCTTCTATATTTTCTAAAATATGATGTAATTTATCAAAAGTATTTGTTATAATTTGAATTATGCATTTTTTACTGTGAGTGAAAAAAGTCCGATCTGATCACTCGATTAATTAATACTTGGAAATATTAGTAAGTCTTTGTATTATACATTTTCTTTCTAAGCTGTACTATGAAGATATATCGGCTTTTTTGACATACTAATGCAAAAACTTTGTAATAAAATACCAATTTCGTGGGAAAAAAGTCATTTTTTTTTCATTTGCAGAGCCTAGCGTAAGTGTTTCTCTTTTGTTTAAACGAATGCACATATATTATTAGTTATATCAATTTATTAATTTATAATCATCGTCAAAACCATCACACAATTAATCAATAAGTCATGAATGAACCCTGGCGCTCCACCTCCTTGTACCCCCACACCACCGTTCATATCGTGGTACTTCTGGGATTAAAGCAACGTATATTTACTCCCTAGAACAAGTGAATGGAAATGCATTCACTTCGATGTCGGGTTGGAACCTGTTTCTGCATGATAAATCATTACCTCCCACTGAGCGCCTGTGGGCATACGTCAGCAATGATAATTGCCTCTGCGTCTTGATGGATTAAAGCGCGTGGTCTATAACGGGTTGTCCCTGACAATGAACGGAAGGTCACTGAATATGATGGGCACACGAGTACTGCAGAAACCGAGTTCTCTCGAAGGGTCGACAGTTCAGTTGAGTTCAATGGGCTGAGATTGGAAATGGGGAATTTTTAACCTCGTGACACAAGGAGCACTGCAAGCTTTCCCAAATTTGTTTTGCTTTTAACATTAATAAATATGTATATATAAATTGCGAATTAATTTTCCGATCGCTTTGCTGGTTTGTGTGTTTGTGATACTGTATCATTTTTAAATGTCATAAATTATAATAGCCGTATTGATGTTGCTTGTGTTTTGATAATGTACCGTCAAGTGTACTCTGTGGATCATAGAGTCAAAGTGTGTAAACTCACTGTATTCGATGGTGTTCGATGATGTTCGTACTCTTTCTTTTCCTTCACCAATCGTCAATTCATTCGGAGACTCGAATTTTAAACAACGTACATTTTTAAGTCTCCTCTCGGAACAGAACAAGTATCTCATTACTATTTATTAAAAAACATATTAAAAATTGATATTTGTTGTTGATGTTTTGGATCAAATTATAATATTTTCATAAAGTAACAATTCTTTCTCCTTTCCCTGTCCTCCCGCCATTATCCTACGCTTACATGCGATTAAATACCAAAACAACATATTACACTAACAATAGATATATGGTTATAAGCTGTACAATTGGACAGATGTTACCCGGGGGCAGAAAATTAACAATTATCATTACAAATACAATTACCAATATAACAACATATAAAAAATCAATATAAAAACAAATTATCTTTTTCATTACCTACCACATGCAGATGGCATTTATATACATACTCGTATACTACAAATAAACATGAAAATATACAAACGTTATTATAAATAAACTTACATATTACATTAGTATGTAGTATTGTTTGATATGTTGTTCTGACCAATTGTTAATGTCCTGTGTTAAATTAACTTATCAAAACAAATATGTGAAAAAAATATTTGCCAAGATAGAAAATGCTTTTTTTTTTACTTTTAATATAATTTAATTTTTACTGATACGTTATTGTCTTAAGCACGTGAAACGTCTCAATGCAAAAGTGCAAGGGAAATGGCGCTACTTTAAGGAAAAGTCAATATACTACTTTATTAATTTAGAACTCGTGTACAGATTCAGTTGAGTTGCCACTGGGCAACATCACTGTCCCAATAATAAACTGTGTTTTTTGTGTATGTACATATGTCCTAACATTCACCGAAAGTTATGTATAACTAATTGTGAATAAAGCAGAATTTAATAATAAAAAAAACTTTATTAATTTAATAATAAAATAAAATAAATTGTGGTGGACAGATAAGTGTCAGATGCAACATGAAAACATTCCTTGCATATCATTTTTTTATTACAGCACATACAAAAGTTACATCAAATACTTTAACCCCGTTATAGATGGATGAAACATATAACACGAAAGGATGGGTTGGGTTTGAGAGACCTGGATTAATATACACGAATTATATATTTGGGTTTTTATTTCTTAGAGAAATTCATTATATTAGTATGTTATAAATGGATGAAATATTGTTGAAATCTTCCGAAATTATTATTTTTTATCAAAACATGTTTCTAAAATGTTTGAAAGAAGCAGAATGCAGATATTCATAATTCTTTTTTAACAACATCACATAATAATGGATGAAAACAGGAACGGCAAAAGTGACATATAAATACTAAGAAAAACGTGTTTATATTAGGAAATATTTCAGTGCCAATATACGAGGGAATTTCGTGGTTTTAATAAACAATTGAAATGCCGTGGTTTTAATGATGACCCAAAGCACTAAGACTTTACAGTATTATTTAATTAAATAAAGAGTTTTCTCAGAATTTATAAAATTTCACTTACACTGTTCTGGTTTTCAGTCATTTATATTAGGATTTGTTATTAACATGTCATTTTTTACGCAATATTACAACCTTGATGCATTACAATACATATTACAAGGTTTCATGTACTTCGCAAAACAAAAAATTATAAATACAAGAATGTTTACCAAATGTATTACAGTTACACAAACGAATGGATTGAGTGTCGGATATTAATCACGTAACAAATTACATGTGAAAACAAATACACAAACTCCACAACAATAAATGTCACTCTGAACGTTAGATTTGAAAACAATAGAAAGTCAGTAGAAAGAAGAAAGTAGAAGGAAGGTAGAAGGAAGAAGAGATTACTAAGGGCATATGTATGCCATTGACAGATATTTTATTACCTTCGGAATCTCCTAGACTCAACATAACCGTTGACGAATTAATACCAGTCATTTTCATTTTTTGCATTCCTTTTTTTCTCATTCTTATAGAATTGGATCCTTTGCTTCGATTCTTGCTGGGACATTCCATTCCAAAAGGCCGGAATCCAATCAAATGAATACTTTTAGTTTTTTTTTAATAGATACTGTTGACTGACAAAATAAGAGTATGTTGTATTTTCATTTTTTTTAAGATTTACATTTTGATGCCATCATTGTAAAGTTATCTTTTGAATATATCTGACCTTAAATCAGACAGTAATGAAATCTTTTATTTTGTTGAAATGCTATTGTACTAGTAATTGTTATTCGAGGTACAAGTAATTGTTATTGACATTAATAATTTAAACACATAAACATTTGGTTTTGATCTTCCTTGCATTTCTGTGCAGTTTATCATGTCCGTAACATTAGTACTTAGAGACATACTATACAGGTGATCTACTTTAAATATCCAATTCCAGAAACGTTCTACATGTTTTATTTAGTTTTCTTGTATCATGAAAATACAACTCGTTTGGATATTCGTAGATTCTTTCTTGCGATTTGATTCCGATGTCAATACTATCGTTGAGTACATGTTTTTTTCAACCATGAAAGTAGAAACACGGTGTGAAAGATATTATATAAATTTGAAATTGATTCCTACGAGAATGATTATTTTCTTGTGATTTGATTCCATAATCGATTCCGACCGCTCTATTCCGGTGGCGACTCTGTAAGCGATTCTTTTTTAGGAATCAAATGCCCCTCATTGTATTTTTTCGGTAATGGCGCAACTAACACAAGTGTCCTGTTCTTAAGTGACACAAGAATGTTCGATTGCGAAATTTGAAAAGGACACAGAACTGTAGAGAAAACAATTGGTAGATGTCCATCACGTGTATTGTTCTATAAATTCAGATTGTTAGACAGTTTATAAAGGTTTTAATTCAATTAGATTTATATTGATTTAAACTAAATGAACACCTTCCTTAACTTCTTGCGGTAGCTCAGTGGATTGACAAGGCAAGCAAGTCCTAGACATCTAGCTAGTCGGACCTATTTCGTATCTAGCTTTTCCATAATTTTCATCACGTACGGAAGGCCCTGCACAGAGCATTTAGGGTGAAAATGAGAAGTTCTTTCATATCTATTGTTGTGTTATTCAGTTTGCTGCAGAGTTTAATAGACTGCTAATTGATTAGAATTGTGAATTCTGTATGTTATGTTTCTAACCGATATGTCTTTTCTTTCGTCTCTCAAAACATAGAAGCAGAATTGGTAACGAACAGCGATAGCGTATCAGCAAAATTAGAATAAAGAGCTGACGAGAAAGCTAAGATTAGGTGCTCGAAGGGTGAAATCAATTGTGGAAAAATTTTATTAAATAAAAACATTTAACGATACTGACATAGTCTTTGAACTGAATTTGCATTGAATTTTGTGGTTTACTAAAAGTATCAGAACCCATGTAGCTAAAACCTATACTAGGTAACACGCCTCTTCCGTCTACAAATCCGTTCCAATAGGAATACGACTCCTGCCAGGGACACACCTGCAATGTACAGGAAGAATGGTCCTGTCAACTGGTTTATTCTCAGTGCATCAGTATCAGCACTTCTTAAATGAGACGTGTCTCTCTGCCCATCTATATCCAAGCTATACGAAAGCTCCCCGTTCCAATGGTCAAACAGGCCTGATTGCCACAAAAGAAGTATAAGTTTGTCGATAACATGACGAATCACGTGGCTCCGAGGAACCAAATAACTTGCGTAGATAGGAGAAAGTAAAGGTTCTTTCACCTTGTGCAGCATTATTCTGCCCTTGATAGTGTATTTTCTGTAACGCGAAATAATTGAGTAAATGTCATCGCTTATAATCGTTGCAGCCTTTCCCGTCATAACTATGT